AGTATACATTTTATTGTTAGATACAACTTTAAAAATCCCGAAGTCACAGAAAAAAATAAATTATTTCGCATACTCTTGATACAGCATATTCGTCACGGGTTGTTTATGGGAAGTTTTTACCTTAAACCATAATATTAAAGAATTTCAAGGTATAACAGATATCTGCTATAATATTAGAATATTTTCATATTACATAGTAAGTTCTAAAATCTAGTTACTCCTTCAGTATATCAATCTTTTATTCATGAAGTAAAATGTTCTCAATCCAACGTCCAGTCGTTAAGATGTGGGAACGAAATTTCAATCACTACAATGTTTTAACAAAACCAAACTGTTCACTTTTATTATCAGAATATCCAAGCTGCCACTTGTTAGCTTAAATGTGTACGTATTTTCTTATAACATGAATTTTTTTGTATTAATGTTGTAGCATCAAAAGCTACGTCAATAGAAGAATATACATAAAATTCATAGACTATCACTTTCAGGAAACGATACAGTCTTCTTTGTTGCAGTTCTATGTCCATTTAACAGAACCAGTGCAATAGTAGTTAAAATATAAAAAAAAATAGAAATTAAGAACTTATCTGTTTTTCAAATTTACTTCTTGGAAATTTCTTTTATACTACTGTGAGCTATAAATTTGAATGTTTTAATTTAGATGTTTGCTTGCGAGAGGGAACTTGTCAACACATAATAATAAAACGTTTAGAAATTTTCATGAAAATGTAGACCGCTGTAGAACCTAGAAGTTTCCGGAAGTATGGAGAAAACTATGTCGTATGCATATCCAGCTGAGTGAGTTCATTAGTAAACTAATTCATCAGTTAGTGAGTTAGACACTGATAGTTATTCAATTGGCAAGAAAATTTTGTAAGTAAGTTGATTTTTAAGTTAGGCAAATATTAGTTTCGGGATTTTTGTTCAAACACTGTTTATGAAGTTAGGCCTACCCGTGAATAATGGCCTGAACAAAACATTATTGATGAAATAAATTAATTCGCTATCATCATATGGACTACATTTTACATTTTCATAAAATAACCCAAAAGATTAAACACTTTCTAACACTGGTGTAAGAAGTGGGATTATTTTGACTAAACTTCAAAATAACAACATAAGGATGAAACAAGATTGAAAATTTGCTGGAGATAATGAAACAGTAGAAAGAAGAACAAGCAGAAAGCGATAAAGTATTAAATTAAGACCAAGAAGAAAAAGACAGAAAATTAGAGAGATGATGCAAAAAATTATAAGAAGACCAAATGGAAATGTTTACAAAATTAAGAAAAAGTCACGAGATTAGAGAGGAGCAACAAAAAAAGAGAGACTACTAGCCACAGAATGAAGGAAATAAACCACAAGGTAATAGGTAATTGAAGCGTAACTTGAATAACATATTTCCTGGAACTGCAGACAAAAGCCATGAACACAACAAACATCTACATCAGAATATCAAACATTTAGCTCACAAAAATGTAGTATTGTAATTATATACACAAGTATAAATGAAACAATATACGATGCCACATTTTTATGTACAAATAACACAGAAAAAAAATAAATATCCAAACCAAATCTTAAGTAGCATCTACAGACAAAACTTTCAGTTCCAGCTACTAAGTCAAACCTAAAGATAAACCGACCTTATCAATCGTGCATATTTCAAGTTAATAAACATTAATATAGCTGAAGTATTAATAAAATACAGTCTAACAACATCAGATCATATAAAAAGCTTACATTTATAATGCTCTAAGATCATACTACTATAAGTTTCCTAAAAAAATAGTAAAAAACATGTACTCTAACTAGCATCATTCGTTAGGATTCCAGAGTGGTCCTACTGACCATAAGGTACCACATGCACATGTGCTGTAAGGCCACATATTCTTGGTTACAACTTACATTGTAATTTACATGTAAAAATTGTTGAACTGGATCGTTACAATCTTTTATCAGATCATCTTGTTGATGTTGTTTCTTATCCAATAAGTTTGTTATCATGTTTTTTTCATTACCTGTTTTATATATGACAAAAAAAAACATTAGTAAAGTTACCGTTTATATTCTCATTTTAAAACGTTTTCTTGGTTTAAAGTTTGTAACTGCAAGATAGTAAGATACAACTGCTCAAATTATATGTATGTTTTGTGTCTTATTTACCGTTTGTGGCTAGAAGGACCCTTCCAAAGATACGCTGATGACAACAGATGGAGAAATAATAGATGCAAAGTTATTTGAAAATGTAAAGCATGAAAAGAGCAAGACTAGAACAGTTTACTGAAGAAGTATTTCCATCACTGGACAATCAACATTACCCACTAATAAAAAAAACCTGAACAAAAGTATACTTGAATGTGATTGGATAAAGCTAGACGTCAAGCGAGTAAAAAAAGTAAAATTTTTACAATGAAAACAGGAACAAAAGCATTTTATCCAATAACTACTAATAAATTGAAGTAGATTGTTTATATTGATGAGTAGGAAATTATTTTTATTAATTAATTTTGGTCCTTAAATCCAATCTTTAATACAAGAAAAAAAAACTATTTGCACACATTTAAAATCTAGCATTAAACCGAATAAAACTTAAGGTGAACTGACCGTATTATTAATAAGAAACAAGAAATTATACGCACCGAGATAAATGGTGTGGATCAATTGGTTCATAGTGTACTTTAAATCTACGAACACACTGACCAATCCAAATATGTTGTTATTGATCAATAAAAACATGGTGATGCCATAGATCAAGATCGCAATGTATATTTTTTTTTTAGTGTTTCCTCTACATCGACATGAAACTATCTTAGAACATAAAGATCTAGTCATGTTCGATTCTTTGAAATGTTTAACTTCATTCTGAGATAAGTCGAAAATATGAAACACTGCTTCTGTAGAAAGCTAGAACACGTAATTTAATTCTAGAACACAAACATGTCCACAAATAACTTATCTAAAACACACTGGATTGTCCAGTTACTCCAATATTTATACTGGAAACATAGTATTTTCTAGTACACAGGAATAAAAACCAGTTTATAAGCTTCACATATTAGCATATATTAGGCACTGCAATTGAACGTGACTGTAAAATATTGAATTTGTTATATATCGAATTAAAAGGAATGATTAAAAATTATATAAAATTAGGAAGTTTAGATTTAAACTAAACATTTTACAAAGTTTGAATGTATCGTTTGTTTTTATGAAGTCCAGCATATAAGAAAATAGGCCTAGAGTAGTATACTTATTATAACATTATTGTGTAATAGTATAACTAAACCCACAGATTGGGTATAAATATCAGAGTGATCAAGCTAACAGGAAGAAACTGTTCTAAGCTCATAAACAAAACGGAATCCTCAATAGTCTTGGCTGTAACCATATCTCAAATTGGCCAGGAGATGACGGAGCTATGAGCTAAAAGTTTGTACTTGAAGAAATTCAGAGCCACTCTATGTGCTGCGGCTAAAATTATCAAAATGTTAAGCTGTGCAGCATTAATTATCAAAATGTTAAGCTGTGCAGCTACCTCTTAATTGTTAACACCTTTATTACTAACTTGTGATCAGAATATTCAAGATAATCTAACAGCAGGTGAACTTACTAAACATAACCATTAGTAACTTCTAGCCTATGTGACATGGGCTATGGGGAATTTTTTGGTAGGTTGGTGGTTCTAGCCCATGGGCTACGGGTAAGTTTGTTGGTAGTTCTAGCCCATGGGCTACGGGTAAGTTTGTTGGTAGTTCTAGCCCATGGGCTACGGGTAATTTTGTTGGTAGTTCTAGCCCATGGGTTACGGGTAATTTTGTTGGTAGTTCTAGCCCATGGTAATTTTGTTGGTAGTTCTAGCCCATGGGCTACGGGTAATTTTGTTGGTAGTTCTAGCCCATGGGTTACGGGTAATTTTGTTGGTAGTTCTAGCCCATGGGCTACGGGTAATTTTGTTGGTAGTTCTAGCCCATGGTAAGTTTGTTGGTAGTTCTAGCCCATGTTGGTCCACCACACACACACTTATCCTAGGTGGTAAGTTTAACAAATAAAATTGAATTTAAAAAAAAGGGACACTCCACAATAAATACAATCAACAGAAGTTACTCTTATTAAAAATGAGAAATAAATAAATAAATCTCGACATTTTATTAGTTTTAATGTCAATTTAATAGTACTGTTCTTTTTTAGATAGAATCTGAGTAGATGAGTGAAATAAAGTCGTCCTCTTACAGTGTAGGTGTGCCATCAATTTTACATAAAATGTAAAACGTTTAGTTTACCAGAAACTATCACTCAATTTCTTGTTCTACGTTTGATAAAATCTTCTAAAAAATATCTTACCACAAAATACCATCATCTTTATAAAATATACACAAACTAACCAGCAAGGTCAAAGGAACAACGTTTAACTACATTCTTTTAAGACTGTATACGTGTGCAACACCTTGTGTATATATCTTAATTTCTTTAAAGATTTGACTTATATATAAAAAAAGGCACAGTTAACAGTCAGTTTATGCGCTGACTTTTTTGATAACAACGATTGTTTTTTTTTTGCTTATTTTTCTAGGTGTCTCTTAAACATAATATTTCATTTACATTAATTATAAAGTAAAAATTATAAGCAGATAACTTTTCATGCAAACATGCAAATAAGACACCTTTATTTTCATCTAAGCTAATTCAGTCCAAACACCTTTAAGGCAGTATAAGTTGTTTTCAGAGCAACATCATCAGGCTTCAATTTGAGGTAGGCAGCAATCATCTCGACGCTTATTGGCAAGGAGCACGGCTCGTTTCTTTGAAACGTGCAATAACGATGAAGAAAGCTTAAAGAACGTTCCGACAGAGCATCCTTCACGTCGATTGGAAGCTTGGAAGCCCGAGTGTTGGGGTACATGAAAGGAGAATCAGTTTCAACAAGTAAACGGTCCAGTGGAATTAGTCTTTCCTCCAGGATTTTCCGAACACCGTCTTCAGATTTGTCTTTCCACAAATATCCTATAAACAATAATGTACTTAATTTTATAAGGAATTTTTGTTTTAACATGACATTTATTTAAAAGAAGTATTCAAGCAATGTATCAACTAAACAATGTTATTCATGTTTTGATTTCAATAGTCTTCATATCTCTGAAGAAAATATTAAAGTTTG